GGCTCGGCAGCAGCACGCGATGCCCGCCATGACTCGGCGAGAACTTGATATGTATCGCCACGGAAACGTCTCATCCCCGACGCCTTTGCTTTTATAAAAGAGACAGTCGAAAAATATTTTGAGAGCATCGACACATTTTTCTCGACAAGTCTGGGTGTTGGAAAATATGAGGCCTCGTTAGAAATGCATTTGGAGGGTTGTGTGAAACTTTGTCTCGAGGGACAAATATTTTGGCAATTTAACGGGACACGAGACAGATAAATCGCCACCGATCGATCATTTGGGAAAGTGAATCATCCTATTTTGTTCGCTGCTATATTATAATGCCATGATCGTTTGTGTCATAATATATAAAGGATACACCAGTCATTGCCGGATTCTTTACTGTTTTGACTATGTGTGATATGGTTATAACTTTTTTCTTCTTACGCGACGACTAATTATTATGGCGCTAATTGTTTGAGTTATTGATTGACTTTTAATTGTCGCTTCTTTTTTGAGATATCTAATGTAGCTTGTAACTACTGTTGCTGAAAGGTAAAAAAAGTAATAAATTACGAACTAAAGTTTCGATCAGATTGTATAAAGCTTTATATATTTTTTCTAAATATGTAATGTGGAAAAAGACCTAAAGCCTTCTTTTATTAACCTTTCAATACCTTATTTCTTTTTTTAATTTAATTTGATGTGTGATTTTAATCTATATAATTTTGTACGTATCTAGGTATACGTATAAAAATATCGTAAGCGAATATAAGTGCAATACAAAATCCTTTCTCGTATACTAGTAATTTAGGACATTTACAAGTCGTAATCGAACATATTTAATGGAGCACTTTTTGCACAGCTTGTTTTGACAGTCGCATTTATTACCACCTCCAAGCAGCGCATGATCAACAAATAATAATAACGACATAGTCTAATAAACTGTGAAATAGAAATGATAAATCGGCGCACGCGCGAACGAAATATATTTTTCCTCTCTCAACAAATGTAACAAACCTGCTTTTGACATTACCTCTGGGCCCTCAAATCACGAATAGACGTACTTTTTCTTGTTCTTTCGCTCGTGCGGCTCTACCGCGGCTGTTACCGTCTCTACGCGGCTCGACTAATTTATCTATCTGTCGGTTGGCGCGCGGTGAGTTGCTCGCTGTATATATATCTGAGCTGCATATCTCGCTGCTTTCTCACTTGGCGGCTCACGATCATTATTTCCACGTCAATCATTTCGTTCTCAGAGCGCGCTCGCGCGTCGCTTTGGCTCGTGCCCGCGCTGCCTGTCTGACCGAGCGTACTACTTATTTCCTTTTTGTCTTTTATTTTTTCTCCTGCACTCGCTCGAATAAAAAAATATAACCTTTGTCAAATTTTAATTACTTATATCTTCGATGAAAAGAAAAACCTATCTGCGTTTCAATCACAGAACAGAATTGCAGTTGGGATTGGAGTTGCAGCTACATTTTCGCAAATCGTGCGAACCAGTATATTTTGCGTCAAGAGGTTACATATTACTTCATCAAGCTCTTTCAATTACAGCCTAATTCCCATTCTTCACAACGGCACAGGCGAGCTAGAGAGAACACATATTACTCGGCAATAATCGGAACTCCGCGGTATCGGATCACATTCCGGGGCGATACTTCTCTCTCACTGCGCTGCTGTGTGTAGAAGACGAAGTATAGCACCGAGGAACGGGGCGAAAGGAACATTGCGCGTTGGTCGCGCGCGCGCGCGCGAGGGGGTGTCACGGAGAAGTGATTGATCGTGTTTCGGCGGAAGAGACGCACTCGCGAGAGCGAGAGAAAGAGAGGGAAAAAACGAGCAAAAGAGACGTAATAAGGTGAAAGGAAGGCGAGGAGATAGCTTGCCACGAGAAGAAGAGGAAGGGAGAGACAGATAAGGCGACCGCAGAATGCGGAAAAAGGGGCATGTATTGAACGAGAGACGCTGCGCGCGAGAAAGACAGAGAAAGAAACGAACGAGTTGAAGGGTAGAAAAGGCGTTGATAGAGAAAGAGAGAAAGAGAGAGGGCTTAATGGAGGAGTCTCCCCGCAAAACAACGACAAGTGGCCGCAAGCGCCCTCAAGTATGATCCATTTCAGACCCATGGTACTTGTCGGATGATGAGTGGCCGACGGACGAGATATAGCTTTTCTTCTTCAAGCTACATGCGCAATTTTTTCAAACATTTAATGTTCTTTCAGTCAATTTTTCTTTTTTATCTAGAATTATTTAACATTATTCCATTTTGAGGCGTCGGCAGAGGACAAATTATTTGTCGTTTTTATCTGCTACAGAATCTTACAATGCGACACCTTCCTCTCAAGAAGTTTTCAAGAGTTTCTTTGTGCGAGAAAGAATGATATTTCAACTATAGTTGTTTCACGCTGCGAAAGAGACAAAATAAATATCCAAATTGTTGCCGAATAAGATTTTCTTTTTACGATCTAAAAATTATATTATATTATATATCATTATATACTTATTATATTCATACATTGACACAAGTAACATTAGTCACTTTTATATATAGACATGTAGAAGTATGCTATACGGTTGTCTATAAACCGAATTAATCATTCACGAAAAATCGATAACTGATAGATCGTGCAATGCTTATAATAATGATTATTTACATATCCCCATCGCGAAATCGTGTATAACACGAAGTGAATACGAAACGACCAATTTCACACTTTGAGTTTCATTAAACACGCACTCCGCACATAACGAAAAAGACGCACACGCACGGGCATCCCCGATGTTTCGCATTTTGATAAATGAATGCACGTGCAAAGAGCAACACCTTTCTGTATGTATATTTTACTTTTTTAAATACTCAGTTGAACGCGTCATTCAGATTTCAGTAAATTCAAGCTTCTCCCATCAATTTAACGGACGCTTGGTTGATAAAAACGCAAAGTTTTGTGTTAAATAACATATAAACAACGCGCTCGATACTCAAGCAGCCACGATCATTACCCTCTGCACAAGGTGCGTTTTACCGAGTTCACTCGGAACAACAATCTCTGCACGGAACTCGGCAATTTGAACACTGAACAATATGGCCTGCTCGGAGCGAGCTTTGTATGAAGTCGGCTCTGTACGATTCCGGACTTGGATTGTAACATATTCTCACGAGAACCTGGACTCGATCTTCTCTCTTCGGAAAATTGATCCTACTATACATGTATAGGACGCTCGCATGATGGCGACTCACGAGTCGGCGATTTTTCTCCCTCCGACGTTGCGCCTATAATTTATATCTGTTATTCACGGATGCCTCGCTACACCAAAGATCCAAATCTATTGTGAGTCGCAAAGGCCAAACAATCGACTGACTGATCTCTTGATTTGCGAATCCCATTCAGTAAGCTTTTGTGTGTAGGCTATCGTTTTTACGCGCGAGTGTGATGGCGCGGTCTCGGTGCTTGTCATTTTTTTCTTTCGCTTGTTGACGGCAGGTAATACGAATATTTTACGTTTTATTTAACAGGAAAAAGAACTGCATTTCAAGGAATTCGAATTCGGCAAAACAACCTTGCATAACTATTCCTCATGATAATAGTATTTTCCAGAAATGTGCGACTATCTTAAATAACCAGAATATTGTAACGATTCCATTATTGAAAAACCCACTACAAAAAATAATACGTCTAGATAAAGATGGAACGAAATCATAAGAAAAAACTTATTGTATATAAGTTGAAGATAAACAATGTCCAGCGAATTATATTGTTAAAAGCAAAAGATATTTACAGACGAGATTGAACAAACATAAGAACATCGGAGGTGAAACTGTTGCCAGGGCACACAAGAATAACTTTTCACATGACTTTGATTGGAATAACGCCGAAATGTTAGATTACGAATACAATTACAAAAAGCCTAAAATTTAGGAAATGTTACACATTGATTTATCGAATAATAGCCTAAACAAAAAAGAAGACGTACAATTTCTAAATCATGTATATAAACTGCTGTTAAATTTTTTGTTAATAAAATTAGAAAATTAAAGAATATTTAACGATACGATTCTTTATTCCACTGATGATGATATGGTGATGGATTTTTAAATGAGACAGTTCAAGCATGTTTTCAGGTATATTTTTGAAAGGAATGCTAAATTTTTAAACTCAAATCTAGTTTCAAAATATTCATTTTCCTATCAGTTTGATAGCAAAACAAGTGGCCATAAAATTTAATTTCACATTTGATTATTCACTCTTTTTACAAGCTTGCTCATTTTGAAATCTAGTTTGCTAATATTATTTTTCAATAACGATGTCCCCATAATTTATAGATTAGCGCTCTCTTGCAAATTCATAACAGAGGCTAAAAGCAAGTAGCGTATAACATGAGTAAGCTTTTTTGTGCAATGACTCGTCGGTTAATGCCCTCCACGTGTTTGCCGACTCTTGACGTTTTCTCCGCGTTCTTCTTTTTATACTTATAAACCAGACGACATACTATATTCAACATTTTAGCCATTCAAGTGTAAAAAAACCACAACCTGGTTATTTTTCGGGTAGAATCTTCAAGTACTCTTCTCTCTCTCTCTCTCAATTTCCTCTTTCGGAGAGAGGCGCAATATCATATTCCCCGGAGGCGACTATTCCTCTCATCCAACGTCCACGCGTAATGCTGGCGTCGAAAAGGGCGCAAGCGAGTCAAAGGGAGAGAGAGAGAGAGAGAGAGAGAGAGAGAGAGAGAGAGAGAGAGAGAGAGAGAGAGAGAGAGAGAGAGCTGGTATGGGATGTGGAAAGAGAGCGAGTAACTCCCCCGTCCCCGTTTGCTTTTCAGGGGTTGGTCTCAGCGCCGTGCTCCGCGGTGCGAAATGGGTGGGGATGCAGTGCTCAACGCGTACTGGTTGGTGGAACTGCCGAGGCCACTACTACTGCCACTCGACACGCACACATAGAAGACGAAGAGAAAGAGGTTGCCGCGCGCTCGCTCGCGAGAAAGACTCGCCAGACGAGTTTGAACCGTGCCGCAAGCAAGGAGACCGTCTCGCGAGAGAGCTCGAAGGAGAACTGCATATGTCTACCTGGCTGCAAGCAGTGTTGACTTTTGAACTGTCAGCGCTGAGAGTGCAATAGAAAAAAAGCGATGTGCGCAGGCGAAATTTGAGCAATAACGCAAAGGTGACATTGTTAAAGTATGAGAAGATATACGAACGATCGACACTGAAGAGACGCATTGAAAAGAGGCACAGTGAAAGGATATCAAATAGTATCGGTGAAAAAGAGTGATTAGTGCACCTGCCGCAGGAGGCTCGCCGCGGCGCCACACTCACATGTTGCATGCGAGCTGGCTATCCATCATGGTCGCGGACGGGCCTCGGCTCTGATTGGTGGGCTCTCTCGCAGCAACGGGTCACGTGGGTTATGGTAATTGGGCTCGCGAGTGGGCGGGCACAAAACTTCACCAGCTGCTGTCGCTACGCGTGTGCATCCTACATCAACACACACTGACAGTACTGTGCCGCGAGCGTTGTAATTCACAGTGAACGCGCGAATTTGTCCGCTCGCGGAGACCTACATAAGTGTGTCGAGTTTCTCTCTGGGAATATTGCTAGGTAGAAAAATCGCCTGCATCCCCTTTGTTATGTAAGAGTAGGCGAGTAACTTTGATCGGAGGTTTCCGTGCAGCAGAGTGCATGGTGACTGGCCTGGAAAGTAAATCAACTGTTGTAGTGACGCAATGAGTTCATTCCTCATGAATCCATCAACAGGAGGCGGTTATCATCAGCAGCATCAGCAGCCAATGGGTCATCACACGTTAGAACCCAAGTTTCCACCCAACGCGGAATACAGCGAGGGCAATTACATTCCGTCGAACGGCGCTGATTTCTTCAGCGGCGCTCATCACTTGAATCATCCGCAGTCTCATCAGTTTCAGTATGGCTATCACGCGCATCATCAAGCCGCGTCCACGCCATACGGCGCATCCTCGTCTGTTCAACTCAATGGTGGTTACGCTGGTTACGGGGGTTACTATCCGTCACATCATCCGCCACACCATCAGGTACATTCGATCCACCATGCCAATCTACCGCATCATCACGCCGTGGGTGCACTCGCGATGCCACCCGAAGCTCAACAGCCACCGTTGACGTGTCCACCGTCGATGCAAAATCAACAACAGCAACCACCGCAAACTGTACCACCATCGACGGTTCTCGGGTCGACGGCAATGTCGCCGTCGTTGATGCAGAACCACGTACCGCAAGATAATCTTCAATCCCATAGTCAACATCAACAAACTCAACAGCAACCGCACGATACTGCTGTTTGTAGTCCGGCTGGTTCGGCTAGTATGCATCGCGATAACTCGCCCGAGTTACAGAATCAACAGCCGTCGCATCAGCAGCACCAACAAAACTTGCAGCAGGGTCAGTCGAGCTTGTCGCATCACCCGGATGATGGATCGGATGTCGATGATCTTGATGACGATCAAACGATGGATGGCTCACCTGGGCTGGAAGGTGACGATGATGAGGATAACGAGAATGGCGATAGAATTGTTTATGCTTGGATGAAAAAGATTCACGTTGCTGGAGTTGGTACGCATTTTTATTTCAATACTTTTTCCCACCGCGTATGTCAACACTTTTTTTATTACTCAAGGTTTTATTATCAAGTCTTATCAAATAATAATAAAAAAAATTATTCAGGCTCTGGCGTTTTTTTCCGATTAGCCAATTAACCTTTTCTTGTTTCAGTTTTGTAATACTTTGTTCTGGTTGCCCAACTAATTGTTATCTTGCACAAAAATCTTCAACAATTAGTGGATTGAAAATATTCATAAGTCACAGTAAAAATTAAAAAAAAATTACATTTATAAATTGCAGGACTGAATTATTTCTCTATACGAATTTTCCTTTATTACATGCTATTAGTAGATAGTACTCTAAAAAAATTATTCATAATTCTGTTTCAATGGTGAAATCATAACTGCAAAAAAGAACTTGCGTACATTTGCTTGGCAAATCAATAAGGCATCTAATCGCGATTGCCGCTGTCAGTGTCAAGCACCAGCGTAGCCGTCCAACTCGAGTTGCCGTCGGACAGACAATCCACTTTGCATCATCGCATTTTCTTCCACTCTTGGAGCTTAAACGTTAACTTGCATAATGATAATGATTTGCATATTAAAAAAAAAATGTTGGAAATCTTGCATATAGGCACGATTGTTTCTTTGAGAAATCAGCATTATTATCAAACTAATCTTCAATGTTTCTTTCTCACGTTGGGATTCGTGAAGGTCGAGATCACGCATTGACGCAAGGTTGCTTTTTGTACTGATGCTGTGACATGGTGCGCGGGATAAATAGAACGTGCTTAGTAGCAGGTTACAGAAGTGGCATGTTGATTTAAGTGTCGCATTTATCTTGTCGCCGGGCGCATCCGTAGGACACACACGTAATTCCAAAAGAATGATGGCCAGCGAATCAGTGAAGCACCTTGTTGTCACCTGCGCTCTTCAGTAAAAACCGACTGGTATTAATGTCTTGCCATTATTCACTCATCCACCGGTGAATCTAAGTCTCGTGCGAGCTGCAACGTGGAAGCGTGCGTGCTATTTCTTAGTATGCCAGAGTTTTGTCTCTGTGTCGCGCTTTGTGTTGGTATAGCTTGCCTCTCTGTGCCTTTAATAGAGCGCCCAAATAAAAATAGAGGAAGAGAAGCCTTTCTAGACGCGATCTCTGTGCGTGACAGTCGCGCGAAATTAGTCACGCCCACGGGTTATTTATTGCTCACTTCGCTTGCTCGCTCTCTCCCGACGAAACCCGACAAAGTGTTTTTTTCTTCTTCTTAAAGAGAACTTTGATATATCACAGACATCACTACAGTAGTATTAATTTTTATGTTACTAATGCTGTTCCTGTGTTCAATGATATTCGTCAATCATCCATTTCTGTCTGGGAATTCGACGTTTTTTTTTGCATTGTATTTATTGAAGCTATTCAACATATTATATTTTTATATTCGGTAAAATTCTTCTTAAATTTTCTCGGGTACGAATTGAATTCTTTCAATTAATTTCTGCACAATATCGAATTAAAGTATAATTTTTTCATTATAGCAAAAAAGACATTTCATGAAGTAAAATACCTTATTGTGTAATAAAAAAATTACACAATAAGGTATTGTTAATGAACATTGATATGTATTTGATTTAATATACGATAAATTATTTCATTGGGGGTTGAAAATTACGGTTTTATATTCAAAATATAACCATAATTCATGCTCAAAAAGAATCTTTGTGCTATTACCTAAGTTTATGCCCTATACAGCCATTCCTACAAACAAATTTTATATGCAAAAATCGAATGGAAAATATAATTATATTTCTTCATGAAAGATTTTGATTAAAATATTCTATGAATCATCAAAACAACTCAGTTTCAAAATATTACATTCTCTTACAGCATCACTATTACTTATTCTGCATTACAAGTTTGGTAAAAACAACCAACGGACATTAGCAAAAAGATTCACTCCATGCTGTGAGCCTTGGGACGTGACTTCCTCGGAAGTTTTTTTCTTCAAAAGATGAATTTCGCTTGTGAGATCGTCAATGCTGAAAATAATACTGTCGATGTATACAGACAACAAAAGTCGCGTATAGAGGCTAGACCATAGGGCTTATTTGAAACCACGTTTTTCTGCCGCGTAACAGTCCTCGGAATTGGCCGGCTGCCTTTGTAAGTTGGAGGCCTTCCCTCTCTGTCTCTCTCTCTCTCTCTCTCTCTCTCTCTCTCTCTCTCTCTCTCTCTCTCTCTGTCTACTGGCCGCGAAAACTGCAGCTCATTCCAACTTGCAACTATTCCCTTCGGCCATAAGACGAGAGAGACTCGAGGTAGAGACCTAGATTGTTGTACGCGCTCAGTCTCTGGCTGTTCCTTGTTTTTCATCTATATACATCCGATATCCCTACCAACTTATCGAAACAGCCGATCGATTACACGTTGGAAAAAATCGGCTCAACATAATGCAGATCTTCCTCACCACATTGATGTGTCATCGATTCGATATAATTGGACTTCTGCAAGTTATTGTTCGGTTTTCAACATGATAAATACCAGCTAAAAAATGACTTATAGATTTACGTAGAATGCTCCAAAATTGAAGGCTTCTCTTTTGAATGCTTGAAATATTTAACAAAATTCGAAAATTCAATGAATTAGTCTAGTCAAGGCATAAATGTTAAATTATTATAAAATAATGCGCACTATAGATTAATAAATACATACACGCATAACTTACAACCTTTCAACAACATCGCAAAAGAAAATAATAGATTGTACAAAAAAACTATACTCTCAGTTTAATAATAACAATAACATTCAATGCCATCGACAATGTAAAAATGACACTAGGGATCACGCACAAAACTCATCATGTACAATCGCACGATCTTCGTCATCACCATCATGCATCGTGATAAAAGCAAGCTGAAGGCCAAACTGGCAACAGCAGCAGAACTGTGATTACGGATGCGCGGTTTGGTTGGTCCGTAATTCTCAGTTCTCTCGTGTGCGTATGTACACACATACGCATTCATCATGTTGGGTGAGTGACACAATCTCTCCCCTCGATGGTCGGACACGCGACGACGGTGAGGGTCAGTTTCTCTCTCTCTCGCTGGAATGGAATGTGCTGTGGCAGTGATTCGAAACCTCTTGCATTTTACGCGGCTACTCGTCTACATGTCCGTCGAGACCACCAAGCTGAGCTATGTTGTCTTCTGCCTTTACCCCCCTATTCACTCTTCTTCTTGATCTTCTTCTTTTCCCTCTCCTCTCTCTCTCTCTCTCTCTCTCTCTCTCTCTCTCTCTCTCTCTCTCTTTCCCTCTCTGTCTGTCTGTCTCGACAGGAAAAACACGAACCCATCGCTATACGATCTTTCAATATTGATGCTCTGCCTCGATGTATATCGTATACGGGCTGCCTGCGCCCTTTTCTTTTCATGCGCGTGTATTGTCTCTGTTATTACGTGTTATGAGTGTATGGGCGATTTTTTCTTCTTTTTGATGCTAGTAAGATTGAGTACCACTATGAAGGTTGATTTTCACACATATTTCATATCATATATGTAGAAGGTAGACTCAGTGAACTAATACATCCTAATTTAGACGATGATCAAACAGTGAATTCCTGAATTTAAATAACATCAAATTTTCGTCACACAGTTATGAATCAAAACACTGGCTTAGATTTCAAACCTAACTAGTTCAGGAGTTATTTCAAATATTCGCCCAAAGCCATTTTAGCAATCGCAAATACAATCTTCTCGTGGTCGTCATCGATCCACCTATTAAGCAATATATCGTCATTATCCACATATGTGATGAATGTGACCTTATACAAATAGTTTAAAAAATGCGAACCTATACCGGAAACATATTCATTTAAAATGACAATCGCTTATCGGTGTCAATCCTTCACACGATCATGGCGAAAAAAGTCAACGAAAAATACGTTCTATTGATGAGTAATCGTTTGTTCGGAGGAGGCAAAAAGGCAACAGTATACAATATGATTGTCGCAGTGGCGTGAGATATAATTGACTCATAATAAGTGTCGCGACTGTTAGTCGTTCGATGGTGCACTAATTGAATTTCCAAATTCTCATAAATCATTATTTGACGCGAAGAAAGCACGATAGAGGTAGCAGTCGCTAATAAGGACGGATTTGTGCGCTGATATGCTCTGCTCTGGTCCTCATCAGGAGCCACGTGCATAATGTATTCGTTCGGTCGTGAGTGTAACTGATCACCTTGTCAGCTGAGACCACCTGGTTTTGTCCTTTTTAAGGAAGCCATCAGAGCAGTAGCGCTAGATAGCTACAGTTTGATATCAGGAAGGTCAGTTCGGAAGCTTGTTTTCGTACTTTTTCGTGCCCATACTTTTATATGCTCACGCTGACTTCGTCGTCAGCGACATGATTCTCTCTTTTCTCGGTAGCTCGCATGAGATAACAGCTGAGTAAAAAAGTATAGACATTAACGAAGCATTCTTGTCGTTTTCCAAATGTGAATCGAAACGCTGTTTGGCCACGAGTTCTGACAGATAGATGGCATCTTTCTAGGATGATGTATTTGCTGGTATATATGCACGATGAGATATATGGCGTGTCAGCACATTTTTATCATAAAATGAATTTTGGCAAGATATTTCAACTTCTTTGCGTCATTCTTACTGTACGAAATTTTCGATTATGAATATGCAAAGAACTGAGATTCTTTCGCTAACATATATTTTATGATATATCTGAAAATGCACTTCGCCAATGTTATACCCATGTTGGATTCGTTGGATCTGTTTGACAACTACAAATTTTTTGCTACTATTCATTCTGTGTAACTTAGTTAACATGATTTTGCAATTCCATTTTATCTTTTTACGATTCCTTGCAACAACAAAAGGCAATTTACCGTTTTCGATCAATTTAGTAATATGAAATTTTTAATTGAAATATGTTATCGCATCGTCAAATGTTTTTTCATAATTTAAAGATTTTATCAGCTAATTTTACCATACAAAGCCACTATATTAAATTTTCCATATAACTTGATTTACTTTTGAAGTACATGAAGCTACGTATTTTACTAATAATAATTAAGCAAAATAACTTTCGCTTCTAGCTAATGGCTCATACACACCAGGCATGGAACCAAAACGACAACGCACAGCTTATACAAGGCATCAGATCCTTGAGTTAGAGAAGGAGTTCCATTTCAATCGCTATCTATCGCGCCGACGGCGAATCGAGATTGCGCACACCCTCGTATTGTCAGAGCGTCAAATAAAAATATGGTTTCAAAATCGTCGAATGAAGTGGAAAAAGGACAATAAGCTACCCAACACAAAGAACGTCAGACGGAAAAATGCAAACGGCCAAAGTCAACCGGCAAAATCCAAATCATCGCGATCATCGACAAAAAATCCAAACAACAACAGCAACCAACGTAAAAATAATAATCGTTCGCCACCTCAGAGTTGCATGGAGACTAGTCTAGATGGCAGTATGACGGGATTAACGGATGTACACGATGTTAAACCACCGACAGATGGATTCATGAACCATGTACCAACGAATTTTCAAGCTGGTCAGCAACATCCACTAGCGCATCTACAAGCACAGCTGAGTCATTGTCACCTGGGTAGTATGATGGATCCTAGTGGGCCTCCTGGTATGGTACACATGGGTACGGGGAATATCAGTCCACTCGCGCCTGCCAGTACTAGTCCGACGGGTGTACCAACGACTATTCCGTCGGCGACTATCAAATCTGACTATGGACTCATGGCACTGTAACACACAAGTCAACAATTAGAATGTTGGTAAAGAAAGTGAAAGCAGCATTTTAGATGTGCACAGAGATTACGGTGTAGTTTTTAAGTTATCAATGTGTGAGAGAAACGTGCGTTCTGTGAATTTTTGCAGGTTTAAAAAAGGCGACACTATTATATGGGACTCTGTTCATTCCGTGCATACATTCTTTCTCGTAATTTCTTGTCCCAACGTGAGCAGTTTGGTTTTTTACGTTATCAACTGAATTTTCAATGAAAAAATATTGTTGAATAACGATTTGATACAATGCTCGTAAAGAAGATGAATTCCGGGGACCAGCCGGTGTTAAATAGTGAATATTGAAAGTTTTATTTGTTGGCATATAAAAATCGTCCTAATAAAGGCTTATAAAGGTATTGTCACAAAAACTTTTTAATCTTGAAGAGTTCGGTAAAAGCTTTCATTTTCTTGCACACGAGTACCGAAATCTTATTTAAAGGCCCTACAAAGTTCCTTCAATAGTAACATCTTATTTGTTAAAAAATTGACTTTACCATACCGTTTTGACCATTAGAATTAACGGAAATTATTTAGGGAAGTTTCGTTGTCTTTGTTAAAATCTCTGCTATGGAATGAATGGAACCAATTTTCCAAAAAATTATTTATTCATGTTTGTCAACCAGTATTCCTATGAATAAAATAAAGCTTTTCATAAAATTTAAAAAACTAGCTTCGCTGATTTTGTAGTACAAATACTAGCAAAGACAACGAGCCCTCCGAAAATAATTTCCGTTTATTCTAATGTTCAGAAAGGCGTAGTAAAGTAAATTTTTTTATAAAAGAAGATTTTACGATTAAAAAAACTTTCTAAGGCCGCGAAATAAGATTTTGGGTCTCACAAGCAATAAAATAAAAGCTTATACCAAGTCCTTCAAAATGTAAATAGCTTCATGACGATAGATTCATTAGGACGATTTCTTTGTGAGCGTATTTTGATACGCTAACAAAGAAAACGTTCAATTTTTATTATTAAATACCGGGTGGTCCCCTTAATCTTCTCCAAATAGACAAATTTATTGTATTTTTAGAGATAAGAATGGTTAGTTTCTAAACAAAGATTGCTCATGTTTTTACTAAATGGTCTTCTCGCTACGTTTTGACTTATATTAATTAATGACGGGATAGTCCAGTCTCGTAACTGGTTTACATGGAATTTGCCAGTCAATAATCATTGTGCCATGAATCTCGTGCATATAGCAGAAAAGGAAAAAGCGTGCATTTTACTTTGCATTTGATTTTTTAGCAAAGTATAAGAAAGAAAAGTGAAACAATTTTCGTTGCGTTAGCATTTTCAGTTCTTTTTTCTTTTCACGATCTTACTCTCCGAATACTTCAAATCTTTCAAATCTTTATTCAGTGATGTAAATAATAAGTACATAAAGTATGGTACATGTATATAATTGTAAAGAGTCCGTTGATGCAGTTTTATAAAAATGCTCATTCAGTGTATGATTAGTTTAAACGTATACTTTCAGATAAAATAGAACTTAATGGTTTTTTCTGAATTTTCAGAAACGTTTTAAATAAAAGTCTGTACCTTAGTAAGGTATATAAGATAAAACATTTGTAAAATATTCGTGACAGCACCGTTGGTGAAAAATATTTACATATAACAATAAGTATCAATTTTCATCTTTTAATTGAGTTGTGTATTTTATTATCAAGAATAAATTTGTTACTATGTTGTGTTCAAGAAAAAAATATATCTTCTATAATTAAAAACGTAGTATCTTACTACGTATTCTCAAACTAAAGTGCTGAAATAAATGGTTATTCTCTAATTATTTTGTCGTAGAATTAATTCTTATCAGAATGTCATCATTATTTACTTTCAGTACTACGAATACGTTATGCGATGGCATACACAAGTGGTAATCTTTAATATTATCCTTAATGATCTCAAAGCTTTTCAATTTAATTCACGACATTAATTATATTCGCTCGAAACATTAAAATTATATGTAAATACTTAATGGTGTAGTCGTGTCTATATTTGAAATGTAAAAGAAAAATCATATTTGCAAGATCAATGCTGACATTATGATTGAAAAAGCCATTCGTTCTAAAATCGAGAGCTGCTATTGAATAAACGAGTAGAAATCAAACAAAATAATGCACAGAATCGCTGTGACGATATACCAAAACAATATTAATTGTATTGTACGAAAGTAGCATTTAAGCGAAAACAACAAAAATTAACGATTCAATAAAAGCACGTTATTCTAAAATTCTTATAAAAATATCGAGGTCAGTCGAAAATAACATTTGCTCTCAGAACAATTACTGAGATTTCTGTCACCGCAATAGACGTTTTTGGTGAGTGTTACTCTTGATCATCCGTCGTTCGCTGATAAATCTAAATAAAATTGCAAGAAAAAATGATGTACGAGTAAGCAAGTCGTCGTTTAAGTGTGACAGTGTACTCATTTTTGTGTATATAATACCTTGTATAGGACCCGACGATTGATCTGCAATAATATTGACGCGATGATACTTATGTTTATATCGATAAAACCGATAAATAAATAAAGAACGATAAAAGATACCTGAATGTATGCTTCATTCAAGCTACACTTTTACTTCCAATGTCTATTGTTTCATCACATGATTTTAAAACATTTTTTACATTATTGGTTTCGCGACAGAGTTAAATACGTTTCGCTGAATCTCGCTGTGCATCATGAATCGCAAGAATTGAGATCAATATTCTCGCATACAAAGGGGGATCGCTTATCGAAGCTCGTGTGGAGCGAACGCGAAGAGAAAGAGAGAAAAAACTTCAACGATGGCATAAAGGGAAAAAGGGATGACGGGACAAGAAAAAGACCGTTTCATATATATATATATATATACATATGTATATACATGTGTGTGTATGTGTGTGTATGTTTTACTTTCATTTCTCATCCCTTCCATTCAGTAGTACCTATATAATGATTTTAATACGCATTTTCACTGCAGAATTGTTGAATTCTAAAAGCTTGAAGAAATGTTTTTACGTTAGTTAATTAATTTTTGACGGATACCTGTAAGGGTCATAATTTACAGGTCACAATATATATATCCTTAATCAGATTAAAATTGTATAATCAGATTATAAAATATCCTTAATCAGATTAAAATTGTATAATCAGATTATAAAATATCCTTAATCAGATTTTTAGATAATTTAATTATGAAGAATAAATATCTATGATCAATTTTTGTAATGTACGATGAAACGGCATATCATTTTATTATTAATCATCGATAAATGCATAAAATTAAAACTGAAAAAATAATGTATTGATTACTGTTGAAGACATCACTATGAGAATCAGCACATATCATGATGAACTAATATTTCTAATAAAAAGCAGCCCACGATATATTACTCCACCTAATTTTTATATTAGTATATTTGAGACGCTACCTTGTGTGGACTTTCACCTCTACAAACATTTATTTATTTATGAATAATACTTCTTAAACCGTATTGTTTACATTTGAATGAACTACATTACTAATAAATGTACACAAAAAGATGAACAGCAAACTAATTTTCCATGTATGATCAACTAGAATAATTGCCAAAAAACCAACATTTTATAATAGATAAGAAGTAATTCTCCACAGATCAGCAACACTCAATAAATAGTACTGTTAAACTTGCACGACAAGTATCAGTTATTTATCTTTGCCATACATATACATATACATGTACATAAACATACATACGTATATACAAACGCACTCATATATATATATATATATATATATATATATATATATATATATATATATATAAGCATGGCACGTGTACGCATACACAACACAGATATCAAAATGTGTATCCGTATCCAGACCGCGACGCCTGCGCGCTAGATACTCCACACTAAGCTAGCTGGAGAATAAACCGCGTTCGATTCGATATCCCCCCAGAACGGCCTGCATGTATGCGTCTGCGAGAGAAAGAGAGAGCGAGAGAGACAGAAAGAGGGGTGGCTCCCGAGAGGCGTCGCCCGTGGAGCATGGTTTGCCACCGCCCATACGGCTATACTAGAAAGACCGCGGAATCCGCCGGCCTTGAAGTATATGTGCGTTCTGTGCCGTAGCAGTGCTAGGTTGCGTAGTAGGGCTTTCTGGCTTCCGCTAAAAATGGAGAATGTCGACGTAGAATAAAAGAAAAATAGATTTAAAAAAGAGTAAAAGAAGACGATGAATCCACCAACGGAAGATTCTTCCAATTTTTCAAATCCTTGAGTTGTAAAGAAACTAGCTTGAGAAGTTATGCCGTAATGCGGTTGATAAAAAAGAGATTTCAAGGCAATGTTCTTAGCAAGAGAGAGAGTAAGAAATTAGACGATTTCAGTTTACGATTACTATTTCGTTTTTACTATTACCATTTTTATTTCCAATAATGTCGGTTTTTCTCATGTTTTGTATTACTAGAAAGACTACACTTTAAAAGTTAAGTATCAATAATTGTAGAATTTAACTTACAAGATCGCAAACTAATAAAATAACCTTCTCTCTCTGTTACGAATTACTCGATAAAAAATACTACAAATTCGATTGAATAACAAAATATATCTTCTATACACACATATCTCTTTGTCGGAATGTTTGGAAAAACAGTTCTTATAACACCTACTGACACAGGAATTATAAGCTTGTAAATAATTTCTGCAGATATGATAAACAATATTGTTATGCGATTTATTATAAGTTACACAAGTATAGAAAAGACCTATGAACATTCAAAAATAAAGAATTTTTATATTTCCAACAATACGTGTATATATAACAATGATATGTATATATACAAACAATAATTGGATTTATACGAATTGTGATATATTTTTTTCTATAAAAAAGCAATTTATATACCGTCAATAAAGTATCGTAACTGACAAATTCGCAGAAGCTCATAAATTATATACAATGTTACAGACGAAAATTTCCTGCACTTGGTGAAGTTGATAAATAACAAACATCCGCGTCACAGCAGCAATCCTTTATATAAATCAAGCATCTTTCGCGTATGTGCACGCACACGTATATATAATAAAGCCTTTCTCATTCCTTCATCAGATCTCCGCGGGCAATTGCGTATACCACAAGATAATCGTCTCTCTCGCGCACATTTTCAGGCTTGTTTCTTCCGAGAAATCTCTGCTTGGAGAGCTTTCAGCGCGTGGCGACGCAAGCTTGTTTGCAGCTCGTTATAGCCGACAACTTCTTTCAAGACAAATGATCCTCCGGCAGCAGCGCTTGCCAATCACTCATGGATCTACATACTCCCGGTAGCCGAATACATGGTGGTCGTCGTTATGCGACAATATTATACGAAAAAAGAACGCGAATACCGATCTCGCAATCCGCTCTTTAAAAAAGAAGCATTAAAAAGTCGGGAGTCTATAAGATTTCCATCCGTCACGCAGAATTCAATAATCGTGCTAACATCCTCATCGATGTCAAGCTTACAGACGAAAAAAAAGGTCTATCGCGATCTGATCGATGGATCGGATCAAAAGTAGAAACGGTTTGGCACTTGGTAAGGCGCTAACAACGTGCTGGCCATTAGATGTAATTGGGTGGGGGATTAACGAGTCACTGGCTCCATTTATCAGGCAACGTAATTACGAAGCATCCCTCGCGAAACTGTCTCTCTCTCCCTCCCGCTCTCTCACCTCGACTATCTCTCGCTCTCTGAGTGACGTCCCCCCGGGGACAAGTTTCGCGACGATGCTAGTGGTGCACGCGTCTCTCACTCGCAACGACTAAAGATAACGGGATGTTTCCTGTCGTCGGACCAGCAGGAAATTGGACCGAGTTCACGTGCTCTCTCACTCTCTCTCTCTTACTTACTCACTTACTCATTCACTCACTCACTCTCGCTCACTCACTCGCACTCTCTCTCTCTCTCTCTCTCTCTCTCTCTCACACGCACAAATGGTTAATTCATATAGCAAGAGTGTATGAGCACGGAAATAGGCAAGTGAACAAGCGCGAGAAATCATTAAAATTTTCAGTGACACGAGACTCCGTTACTAATGATACGTGACAAGCAAGATGACGTGGGCGGTGCACACATCATTAGCTGAGCTTAGCTTGCGCTATAATTGTTCCGAGAGAGTATAGACCTAGCACAAGTGCACAGTATCGCGAAAAGGGTTCTATTTGTGGGATGCCGTCGAACTTGATCAGTCGAGAAACTTTCTTGTTTGTATTTTTTTTTTTCTTGGTAAAAATCATTTCTTGCTGGATATTTTTTCTTCGTTGCGCTGTATTGTATAGCGCTTTCACTCTCAAACGCTAGTTAGGACGACTAGTGAGATATGCCTAATCATGCTCGAGCTTCTTCTTTTTTTGTTGTCAACGCACTGAGGAAGTTTATACAGTCTTGTTTAGAAAAAAAATTTTTTTTTTGTATAAAATCAAACATACATGGATATACAAAATTCAACGGAGGATTCATTTTTTTTCAGTTTATCTCATATGCAAAGTAAATTTTTATAGTCATTCTGGCCGGACAGAAATTCAATCTAGTACGAGCGTAGACTAGAGACTTGTCCTCAGAATTCCATTGCTTTAATTCATTTTGGGATTGTCTGCCAATCTCGTCGTCCTTATAATTCATTAAAATTCTTTTTTGCCCCTTGGAAACGTGATGGATTCTGCTTTCAATTTAACGCTGAGACCCTACTACGACGTGAACGAAGAAAGAGAGTGCCTTGACGTTATACCGTCGTCCGTTCCCCCTTGAATAGCAATGAGACTAGATTTTACCGATGCAAGCAACTTTTTGTCGTTGTCGAATTTACCGATAGATCATAATATTAAACAATGTAAAGATTGTTATTGGCGAGAGTCAAAATCAAATATTTGAAATGTCTATGCTGGAATGTATAATTTTTTATCTTTTTAAAATAAGAAAGTAGTGTTCATTATTATTTAATTTAAAAAACTAATAGTTAAAAATATAAAAATATTTAAATATTGTACGATTTTTATCGAATATATTTTTGTTTAAACTTTGCCAACCCGCATTATTAAAAGTGCTCATTTTTAGAAGGATTTCTTATTTCTATATATTTATATTATTACAAAATATTATTAAATTAGCATTTTAGACAAAATTTTTATTCCTAAAAGCTGATGATTCTTGTTGATTTGATAACATTTTTAAGTAGCGTAAAAAATAGTCATTCAATATATATTAGAATGTTAATATATTTTTCGGTTATTATATATTAGACTGATTGGTTCGAATCTCCACGATAAAAGCTTCAGAAACTAACATGTTTACTAATAATCAATTGAAACTCATTTCAGAATTAAAATTACTGAAATTCGAGAATGCAAGGTTTTTAGCCGACATTACATTAAAATATTCAATGAATACATTTGAAAAATTACTAAATAATACAAAATTTTTTGTGAGGATTCAAAAATTTTCAGTGTTTTTTTCAATCAAGTTAAGCTTTTCTCTCTTCAACCTCCGAATAAAAACTCCAATCTATAGAATCCTCAAACCAA